ATACAGGGCAGGGAGGGAGGCCAAAAAAAGACTTTTCTTCCTCGACTTTCGAGGCGCTATAAGTTACACTTTATTAAATTATTATCGGACATTTCTACCACCATATTAAAGAGCATATTCAAATACTATCATGATACTCCGCCACAGCCTTCTGGAGGAGCGCCATCGAGAGATTCTGCACGCGACCTCAGTGGGTGCGTGAATCAGCCGAGCATCGTTGATTTCTCCGCCACCGTAGACCACCCTATTGAACTCCGCCCGAGCCAGGTAATTGAGGGGGTTTAGGTCAGGTTACCTGCTTAGATATTCCACCTTCTTCAGGTACTCAACGCCCTTCCATCACAAGTAGGCAAGAGTTTCTTCGATTTCATGTGGTAGCACTCAATGCTGTAGCAGTACAAAGTTTCCAAGAAGGTACGGGCGACCACATGTGAGGAGGATATTCTTCACGAGTTGCCCAATGTAACCGCCAGCGCTCACCTTTAGTCCGGGGCCCACGAAGAAAATATCGGTCTCTCCATTCCAGGTACGTCCGGTCCCACCATCAAACTGGCCACCTGAAGACGACTAAGTAGCAAGATGATGCTCCCTAGACCGCTAGCGATGTTACGGAGCTGCCCCTCTGCGACTGTGTTTGCGTGCGTACAGCCTTGTGCGTGCGTACAGCCCTGGGACGCTGTTGCAAATCTAGCGCGTTGCAGCGCGTCGTCGCAGAGTCTGAGTGTTGCCTTATATCATAGCTGGTGATCGCCGTGAATTGCCGGTTGTATTGTGTGATAGCAATGACAACCGAAACGCGAGTTTCCCAAAAATCACTCATGAGAGGCTGTACGCCAAAAAGCTGAGGACGTCAAAAAATTTCGGTTTTTGACATGTTTTGGTATGGTGCACACCTTTCACCTCGAACTTTACGGTCTCAAACACACGTTAGGTTTGCCTTCGAGCTATGCTACTTCTGTCCTCACGGAAGACCCAAGTCCTGAGAAAGACAATGCACCTTACTCCAAGCCATATGAGTGGACCACGAGTGCTTTTTGGAACAATTTGTTTTGGAACATTTTGCGATAATCCAGAGTAGAAGCAATCAGAAAAATGTGCATTGACAGTGACTGCAAGAAGCACCTGACGGGAATAAATTTTGCAAATCAAAGCACATTACGTTCACTATCGAATGCTAGCACAAGCAGCGACAGAATAGTAGTTAAAAACGTTAACTACTATAGTAGTTGAATAATGTGAGTTAACTACTATAGTAATTCCACGATGACGTAAAAAAGGGCTTCTTATCGATCGGTTTATATATCACCTCCAAAGCCCTATAGATACAGTCGGTAAAAAAGACGAATTGCGGCGCTCAAGAATTGATATATTAAGAACGTGGTCAGAGTGAGATAATCCTTAATACTACAAACAATTACAGTTATCATGCGTCTATAACAAATTTAAGACAACCGTCCACTCACCTACAAGATTCCTCGTCTTTGCTGTTTGGTGAATGGACCCGCAACTGCAGAAATATACCACTTTCTCGCTTGAAAGTGATCGCGAACAGAACTGAAGGGTAGTGACGCCGCGGGAGATTTAGGGACCTGCACGCGCGCCGGCCAGCCGCACGCCTGACAATAAGCGAGCGCGCTACTTGTCTGGTCCCTCTCACTTCGGCTTATTCACTACCGCTGAGTGAGTGTTCGCCGCAGGATCTTGGAACCAATGAAGTACTGCACCTTGAACATAGCTCGGGCGTAATTGCGACACGGCACCGGGTATCGCTACAATCCAGTTCTGTGCACGTGCCGTTTTGAGCGGAGAATCTGCACCCTACTGCAGCTGAGAATCCACCCATTAACTCGCACATGGGAAATACTGTCCTCGGAGATGAGTGTAGAGTTTGCCTTCAAGGGAAGTTACGGGTAGGTACATAAAGCGGCTTTCCTCAAGGGGCAGACCTCATGTAAGTATAACAATACAGTACCAGAGGAGACTGAGGAGGTGGGTTAGGTGAATAGAGTAGGGTAATGCTATCCATTTGAAGCCGCGTGAAGAAGCTGCCCAGCACTGAACTATTAGGGAAGCTTAGGAACGCTTCATTTTTCTGGCGACTTTTGCTTTTATGATTGGATTTTGGTACCTTTCGTAAGTGTAACATTTGCATCGTGGATCCAGATGTGGCTGTGGGACATTAAAATATTGAAGTAGGGCCAGTATTTAATGTATATGCTTTGCTTTGCATTTGTTGAACACAGCTGCTCTTTCAATACGTATATTTATCACTCTACGAAAAAACAGTTACAAATTCACATTAAATAAGTTCATTTTAGGTGACTTGAAAAAGTATCTATACAAGCCGGAGCGGAAGCAAGGTAAGCCTTATGGCATAGAATTACTTTAGAAGTCCACTTCGAAATGCCTGAAATGTGGTAGGCGTGGCTGCTTACATCAATCAAACGTGGAGGTGACTGTACTTCTGGTGTTTTCATTCCGACGCAATAGTGGTCGTGTCTCTGTCGAACACTGAACGAGATGACAGCTGCCCCAAACTGAAATATTCCACGGAAAACCCATTGTATTTGAGTGCCACGCCTACCCCGTCTCAGGGATTGGGAGGAACATTACTGTGCTCCCTAAAATGTAACTATTTGGATTAGTGCTAATCTCAACGGTTTGCATCTCGAATATTGTACACCTATGAATTTCCATTTTTTTTGAAAATTTTGAAACTCATCTAGATTAGGAGAGATGAAAAGTCTTATGCTAGAAGTAAGCACTTATAGATACAGTCTACAGCTCCACACAAATAACGCTCGAGAAGGCG